AATCTGTGGTTTTGATTTACATTTCCCTGATGGCTAAAGATGGGAACATCTTCTCATGTGCTTTTTATTGACCATTTGGAGATGCCTATACAAACCCTATGCCCGTTTTTAAACTGGGTTGTGTTTTTATGGTTTTTGTAAGAGTTGTTTTTTAATATTCTGGATACTAGACCCTTATAGAATGTTTGCAAAATTTTTCTTCCATTCTGTAGGCTGTCTTTTCACTTTCTTGATAGTGTCCCTTGAAGCACCAATTTGTTTGTTTTTTTTTCTTTCCCTCTCTCTCTCTTTCTCTTTTTTAATGCCTACCCCACCTGGTATTCCTAGGTGGTCTCCATCCAAGTACTAACCAGGCCCGACCCTGCTTAGCTTCTGAGATCAGATGAGATTGGGCACAGTCAGGGTGGCATCGCCATAGACCCCAATGTTTTATATTTATTTGAAATCCAATGTATATTTTTTCTTTTGTTTCTCGTGATTTAGGTATCATATCTAAGAAACTATCTCCTAGTTCACAGTCATGAAGATTTACACCTGTTTTCTTCTAAGAGTTTTATAGTTTTAGTTCTTACCTTTAAGTCTTTGATCCATTTTGAGTTAATGTTTGTATAGGTGTGAGGCAGCGAGGTACTTTATTCTTTCGCATTTTGATATCTAGTTTTCTCATCACTATTTGTTGCACAGTCATTTTTTCTCTCATTCAATTGTCTTGTTATCCTTGTTGAAAAATCAATTGACCATATATGTATGGGGTTTATTTCAGGACTTTCAATTCAGTTCCACTTACCTATATGTCTATCCTTATCATACAGCCTTGATAAGAACCTCATATTTTAAGGAGATAGTTTAAACTTTTGAGGTTATATTTAGAATCCGCAGATGATTGTTTTCATTCCTTTCAACTCATTTAAGGAAAAATTAAGTTTTCTAAGATGATTACAATCATGATAAGTGTTATGAAAACAATTCGATTTCAGAACTCACTTTTAATCTTATTTGCGAACTGGAATCAGAGTAATAACTGATTTAATGCATTTTTCTTTTCATTTGTTGATAAACTCAATATATATGAATTGAAAGTAAAACCAGGATGCAAATTATTATGGCAATGTGGGTACATGGAAAGTATAACATGTCAAGTCTCAAGATCTGGGTTCAAGATTTGGTCCTGGCACTTAAACTGTTGACCTTGGATTGGTTACTCTACAGCTCTACACTTTACTTTCCTCCTATAATAACTAATAATCATTTCTGACCTATAACTGCTTCATAGAAATGTTGTAAGCCTCAAATTGAGGTAATGTGCTTGTTAAGTACCCTGTTAATTGCAAAATGCCACAAATAGTTAATATTTGATACAGCCCTAATTAGTGATACTAAAAAGTTCTCTGAATAAGCATTCCATAGATGCTCTAAAAAAGGCTCTTGATTTTTCCCTAGTTCTTAGGAAGATAGATGTCCAGAGCAGTTCCTATTTCATTTTATATTCTTTAGTCTAAAAGCTTTCTGAGACTTTCCCTTTTCTAAATGTTAGTACTTAAAAAAATAGGCAAATTACTCTACTCATCATCTCTTTGTCCTCTTTTACACAATGTACTATAGGAAATATTTTAGGCTTTGTGGGCAATATAGGGTTTTGTCACATATTCTTCCCCAAGCTTTAAAAAAATTTATTATTATTATTATTTTTTAATCCTGTAGCAATGTAAAAACTATTCTTAGCTGGAGGGACGGTATAAAAACAGTCCTGATTGATTTTGGCCTGCAGGCCTGTTTCTGTTGGGTTCAAGCTCTATATCAGGATTTAGTTTCAGCTACTAGTTATAATCATTTACATACACAAAAAAATAGTAACTGGTTAGTTACCCAAAGGAATTTTATGTTACTTTTTATCCTAACGGCAAAACAGGATTTTCAAGTGGAACAGTGTGAGTCATTTGGGTTTTTTGGATTATGTTTAGCATCGGGTCTGTTCAGCCAGGGACAGAGATACCGTTTTTGAGTGACTGGCTGATTGTGATACAATTCACACTGATGTATTACAGCATCTAAATAATTAGAAAGGGCAGGACACAGGTGATGATTGTTGAATCCAAGCTCCTGCTGAGTAGGAAGAAATTTTTCTAAATGAATCATGTCATTTTTAGCAAGATGTGGGCTCAATGACATTTTTCACTCATCTTTACTTTCATTGTTTGAACAAAATTATAATAATGTCAAGGACTCCAAAAATGATCTAAACATACTGTGCTACTGAGAGCATGGGGAAACAGTAACTCTCATACATTAGAGGGGTGGTGTAAATTGATACTTCCTCTTTGAAGGGTGATTTGGCACTATCTGTTTACATTAAAAATATACCTACCCTTTGACCCAGTTCTTTTGCTTCTGGGAATTTACCCAATAAGTACAATCCATGCAGGCAAATATCAAGTCATTGCAGCATTGTTTATAGGGGCAAAATACTGGAAATAACCTAAATGCCCATCAATAGAGCAGTGCTTAAAAAATTATGGTACACATATTCAATGGAATATTATGCAGCTCTTTAAAAGAATTAGAGTTATTGATAACAACTGATATGGAACAATCTCCAAGATATATATCTTAAAGCAAGTTACAGTATTATACAAATTATAGTATAGTTTCTTAACTATTTGAAAGTAATTTGCAGACACCATGACCCTTCACTTCTATATAGTTCAGCATGCATCTCCTAAAAATCAGGGCACTCTCCTACTCAACTGCATTACAACTATTATACCTATGAAAATTAACAATAATTTAATTATATCTAATATCAAGTACATATTCAAATTTCCCAAGTTGTTCCCCCAATATCTACTTTTTTCTAACCAGGATTTATTTCATTTGATTTTTATGTCTCCCTAGTCTCTTAATCTAGAGCCAGTTTTCTTGTAGAAGATTACAGATTTTGCATTTAAATGATTAGTATATATACTGTTTATTTACCCCCCCCATGACATAGACTTAATTCAAAATTTCTACTATGAACATTTTTCATTGTGGTGAAATATACATGTTACCATTTTAACCATTTTTGATTGTACAGTTCAGTGGCATTAAATAATTCACATTGTTGTAGAACCATTACAACCATGCATCTTCAGAACTTTTTCATCTTCACAAGCTGAAATTCTATACCCATTAATTAAACAGTGACTCCCCACTTTCCCTTTCCTCTAGCCTCTGGCAACCAGCACTCTACTTTCTGTCTCTTTGAATTTGACCTCTCTAGGTGTGGAATCGTATAGTATATGTCCTTTTGTGATTGGTTTATTTCACCATAATGCCTTCAAGGTTCATCAATGTTGTAGCATTTCCTTCATTTTTAAGGCTGAATACTATTTCATTGTATGTACCATATTTTGTTTAACCAGTCATCAATTGATGGACAGTTGCATTACTTCCACCTTTCGATTATTGACTATGAACATTTTAAAACATACTTAAAGGTGGAGAAAATAGTACAATAATAACTCATCTAATTAAACAATTATGCATTTCTTAAAATTTTTAAAAAGGACATTTTCTTATAAAATCTCAATGCCATTTTTGTACTTAACGAAATAACAATTCTTTGGGTGGTTGGTGTCATCTACTACCTGGTGCATAATCTAATTTCCCCAATTATCTCAAAAATGTCTTTTATAGTTGGTTTGTTTGAATCTTTATCTAAGCAAGGTCCACACACAGTACATTTGGTTGCTATGTCTCTAAGGCTCTTCAAATTCAAGCAGTCCGCCCTCACTTTATTTTTTTAATGCCATTATCTTATTGCAGAACAGACTTATTTATGCATCTATTTATTTCAAAACCCTCCACCCTCGCGCGCGCACATTTTAGAGGAACCAAACGCCTTGTATTTTCAGGTTTTGGAACCCGGTTTTATTTAGAAATACTACAAGTGTTATAAAGGCACAGTATTTCAAAATGCATATAAATCTCACGTGGTAAAGCTTAGCTCCATACTTGTCACATGACCGCATCATAATTTAGTGAATCTTAGTAGATGCAGTCTCTGTAGCAGGGGGCAGGATTACCTCCTTCCAGAAGCCAAGAGCAGAGAAAGCCTCTTCCAGTGCTAAGCCTAGAGAATGGTTTTCAAATTAAAAACAAAAATAACTAAATGCAAAAGTTTCCTCTGAACACAGAGATAAAGTAAATTCCCAGAGAATGTGGTGCTTAGGAAACATTACTGAATTAAATAATAGACTGCAGAGATTCTGGTTGAAGAATCAATCATACTTCCTTTAAAAGTGGGGCAAGGGTATCAGAGTGCACAGATGGAGAGATGGCAGGCGACTAAGGGAGGAAGAAGGGTTATATATGCGGTCCCCAACCTTTTTGGCACCGGGGCCCAGTGCTCCTATGAGAATTGAATGAATGTCTGATGGATCTGCAGTGGGGCTGAGGCAATGACGCTAACGCTGGGGAGTAGTTGCAAATACAGATGAAGCTTCACTTGCCTGCCTGCCGCTCACTTCCTGCTGTATGGCCGGGTTCCTAACAGGCCACAGACGGGTACCACTGTGGCCCAGGGGTGGGGATCCCCTGATATAAGCGGCAATGAACTGTCAAAGGAGCGAAACCTGCTCAGCCATTCCCCCCACCCCCACCACGAGGAAAAAAACTGAGATTCAGGGGGAAAGCACACAATGTGAGCAGAGTTGGAGGAGACAGGGCAGAAAAATCTCAAGGAGCAACTCCGAGTGTCTGCAAGGACGTTCAAAGCCGGTTTTTCCAGAACTGGAAAATTCCCCAACAAGGTACTAGGCGCAGCCTCTCTGTTGGAGCCACCCTGAACTGCGAAACCCCAGGCACGCCCCCAGCAGGTGACTCAGTGTGAGTGCTGTTAACGTGCCACTACGCGTGCATCCGCCGCGGGAAGTAGTCCCCGGCCGCACTGGCTCCAAAGGCTGCTGGGCGAGGGAGGCCCCAGGCCCTTGCAGTGTGAGTCCCGAGAGCGGCGGGCGCGCAGCCAATCCATGGGAAGGAGAGCGTGGCTAGCTCAGCCCTGCGGATCCCTCCGCCCGCGTTTGCTGTGCTGAGGCCGAGGTAGCCGCCATTTTGGATGCTGAACCTTGATTCCGGAGTCTGTCCCGGTCGTTTTCACGCCTGGATTCGGTCTGGTGAGTGTGGCATCTTGAGCGTCAGGGGTCTTTGTTTTCCTCCTCGCACTGCGCTCTGGATTTGGAATTCCCCAATGCGGGGTTCAAACGACCCTGGGAGGGGCAGAGGAAGAGAAAGGGAAGGCTCCTGCATGGTGGGGGTCAGGCCGGAGGTCAGGCTGGAGGGGCTGCGGCGCTGGAGGCCACCTAAGAGGCCGAGGGTGTGACAGGGCCGCGAGCAGCTTGGAGGCGTCTGGTCTGGGATATACTTGAAGCCGCTGAAACTTTCCTGTTGTCCTCCCTGTCCTGAGGCGTCTCTTCCCTGGGGCGGAAATGCCGAGGCCTGGGCCCCGCACTCGTCGGTGAAAGGGCTCGGCCTGCGCTTACCGCCCTGAAAAGCGACACGCATACCCCATCTCTTGTCTCTAGTGCACGCGAGGGTCTCGTTCGCCTTCGAGTCCGGCGTCCTCCTGGGCTGGTTTCGAGGCGGCCCGGTGTTGGGGCCCCTTTGGCCGGAGGAAAGTGCCTTTTTCTTTAGTTGAAGCGAATAGCGGCCTCATCCCCCTAAAGCAGACTTCCGTGCCTACCTGATGACTTTGCGAGGAGCCCATGGCCCTGTCCTCGCCCCTCTTTGTGTTCTCAGCGCATCTCTTCCGGGGTGCTGGAGGTGAGGACTTTAAATTCGACCGGCATAAACTTCTACAGGGATAGGGACGCCAGAGCGTCTGTTTAATAATTAGGTAATAGGAAAGGCCCAGGAGAGCAGCTTTCACTCTCGAGTAGTAAAATTAAAATTAGGATCTGGTCTTAACTCTTTGGGGATTGTAATTTTTCTGTTATGCTTACATATTTATTATTTTTTAAATTTTGTATTATGAAAATTTCAAACATAAAAGTAAAGAGTATAATGTATTCCCTCATCCAGCTTCATTAATAATCAGTTCAGGGCCAGGCTTGTTTTATTTAAATGCCCGTATGTATTTATTTTATAAAATAATCGCTGATATATATGGGTGTATATATCTCCTCCCCGCAAGTAGAAGGCTTTTGACTTCTGTATCCTCACACCAATAGTCCATGGGAAATTTTGTTTTTACAGCTTTCTCAGAACCACATCTTGTGGGATAGGAGTTGGTAATATCTTTCTATTTGAGAATACCAAGTTTTTGAAACCTCAATGTTAGTATTACATTTTAAAGTCACTCATTTTCTTAAGTCTTCTCATTTTTAAAATACTGATTTGTCCAAATTATTCTTCCTCTCTTCCTTTGCCTCTGGTTTCTAAATGATCAGGAGTTCTAGAACCCCAACTCTAGTCTGCTTAAAGTCCTCATTCCCTTTAAAATCAGAATCAAATCCCAATTACATATAGTCTATTCTGATTTGAAAATTAGGAAATAATGTGTAGTTTAATGAAACAATTTCAAGTACAGCTAAAGTAGTAAGCACATGAACACTAATTTCAGCATATATATGACAAATGTCAAAAAGTTAGGGAATTAATTAAAAAATTATTACTCAGTGGAATATTAAGCAGCCATTAAAATAACATTGTAAAGACTAACAGATACGGTAAGTGATAAAAGGGTTCAGAGTCTATGATGACAACTTTGTAAAAATATGCCGTAAGAAAAACACTCGATAAAAAGTATACCTAATTTTCTGCTATTTTCTTTTTTTTAATATTAATTTAATTGAGAAACAAGATAAGGATAGTTTCATAAATGCCTGCACATTTCAGTGTTTATATCTCCTTCCAGAAAATCTTGATGGTCTCTGAATTCTGAAGCCTGTACTGTTCTTGAGAGTTACACATGATGTTACTGGTTTTCTGGTTCTTTATTGAATTTTCAACCTTGATTAGGTTAGTGATTTGATTACAGCTTACTGTATAGTGTGAAAAATACAGTAAACAGCATTCTGTAAATGAAATGGTTTTAAGGATTGGATTCTATTATATTGGAAATGCCTTTTAGCTTGTTCATACTCTTATGCCACATATTCATAGGTGCAGTACAGTGGTCATACCTAAAACTGTTCATATCACTTATAAGAAAGACGTGTTCAGGATTAATAAAATAATACATTTGAAATACAAAATGCATTTCAAATACAAAATGCATTTCAAATACAAAAGTTTTCTTATATACTACAGAATATTCTAGTCACTATTTACTGTGTTGCCTCTCTTCCCCACTTGGTACTTTTGGAGTTACAGACTCTAAAACTGGTTTCTTAGGACTTCAGGGCCTTTTTTGCTGTTTTTAGCTACTTTAAATAGAGCTTTCAGGATTACTACCAATGGGCAGCTTCACTGTTTGGGGCAGCAGTTCTGAGTTGCCCAGTACGGTGAGAAATGACTTAATTCATGGTTTTACACCTTTGCTTATTCAGAACGGAGGAATTATCCAACTTTAAAAGGCTTCTAGATTTGAGTGATAAAAGAGGGAATAGATGAATTCTTTGTTCCTATGTTAAAGATTGGGGTAAAGTGAGGGATTGGAAAAAGCTAAGAAGGGCACATGAGGCTGTTGACCAATGTGTGACATAATGGTGTTACACTAATAAAAATAGTAGTAAAGTTTATAAACAAGGTAGAATATAGAGAAGTAGTTTTGCAATGACTAGTTTATAGTCCTTTTAATAGGATTTATGTTATAGTTTAATGTGTCCTATAGTTTTTATGTCACTCATGCCCATTAGATTGTGAGCTTGAAGCGCTAGGATCAGGTGTTATTTAAATGTCTCGTCTGTGGTGTCTTTGCACAGTACTTGATAGAATAGCACTCAATAAATGTTTGGTGAGTGAATGGCTGTAAAGATACTGAGACACAAAGTGATCTTAGAATAACCTCTAAATCAAAAAAGAATTTTAAATTAGGTATCAGGCAATATTAGTATGTGGGATATACATGTATTTGTTTATGTTTTATGTATATAGATGTTTGTGTATAAAACTGTTGACTAGAATATTTTATTACTTTTAGGTTATTCCCAAAATTAATATTCCTAATCATTCAGGATACAAAGTTTATGGTAGTTAGCTTTGGAAACAGGTTCAAATCCTGAAATGATAATTAAATCGATCTTTTGTATTAGACAAGTTTTGGGGCTAATGATTTGTTTCATATATTGGTAATTATTTAGGACATGTCCTTAGTTATTATCTTTGTGGTTTAGTGTCATTATCTTTAATGATTAGTTTCTATAGAATAGGAATCTAATTTCTGAAAGTTGAAAATACTCAAAACTTAAGTTAACAAAATACTTTGACAAATTATTTTCCTTTCCTTAAATCTGAAACAAAACTAAATTATGTAAATTAGTGCAATTAAAAATCTTATTTTTACTTAAATTTCCTACCAGTTAACATAATAAATGAGTGGCAGCTTTGTACAAAGCACTATAGTGGGCAGTGTGAGGATAACAAAGGAACCACAGAAATAGTGCCTTCAAGGAGCTATACTGATTATATACTGTTGAAATCCTCCAATGAGGTCGAAACAGGTAAATAAAAAAAAGTTAAAATAGGGGAAAAGATACGAAGCATACCTTAAACATTTTATTTTGACCTAAAACACATAAAAGTCCATTTATCAGCTAATGTTTAAATGATGGGCCAAGACCTTTTCTTTAAGTATAGTTCTGTTGGCTGGAATTTATTTTATTTAACACATGTTTATACAGAGACTACTGGGTACACATAACACTGTGTACCAGGCACTGTTCTAAATTCTTAACAAATTTTCATTTAATTCTTATGCCAGTTTTGAGTCGTGGGCGTTCACATAATATTGGTGCCAATTTTTCTTAAATGTTTGATAGAATTTCCTTAAATGTTTAATGGAGAAGCCCCTGAGACCTGGATTTTCTTTTGGGATTGTTCTTAATTTTAGGTTTGATTTTTTTTTTTTTTTTTTTTAACATATGGGCAATTACACTTTATGTGAACTGAATATCTGAGAGATTTGTCCGTTTTAGTCTCATTGTTGAATTTATAGATATGTTGGTAATAATGTCATTTTTTTAATGTCTGTAGGATCTGTAGTGATATCTCCTATTTTCATTCCTGATACTGATAATTTGTGATTTTGTGGATTTTTCAGGTCAAATTTATTAAATTTTTAATCTTTTCAAAGAACCAGCATTTAATTTCATTGATTTTTCTCTGTTTTTACTCTCTTAATTTCATTGATTTTTGCCTTGTTTTCATTGTTTATTTCTGCTTTGGGTTAATTTTGCTTTATGTGGTTCCTTATGGTGAACACTTAGGTTACTAATTTGAGACCTTCTTAAGATAAACATTTAGTATTGTAAATTTCTCCCTAAGCCCTGCGTTAGCTACATTCCACAAATTTTGATGTTATATTTTAATTTTCATTTTCTTGCAGTTCAAACCTTTAAGAATTTTTTTCTGCTTACAGCTTCCTCTTTGACTCATGGATTATTTAAAAGTATGTTACTTAATTTACAGGTGTTTGGAAATTTTCTGTTATCTTACTGATTTCTAGTTTAATTTCATCATGTTTAAAAACATTTCGTGTTACTTCATTTCTATGTAGTTTGTTAGTTTTATACTCAGGATATAGTCTACATTCATGAGTGTTCTATGTACATTGCTATTGAGTGGAGTGTTCTAAAATGTCAGTGAGATACAGTAGGTTGTGGTGTTCAGTTCTACATCCTTGCTAATACTGTGTCTACTAGTTTCATCATTTACTGAAGGAGGTATATAGTCTCCAGCTATAATTAGAGATTTGTTTATTTTTCCTTTCCTGTCCTTCAGTTCTTGTTTCATGTGTTTGAAAGTTCTGTTGTTACATGCATTCACTTTTAGGATTGTTATATTTTCTTGGTGAGGTCACCCTTTTTCACTATATAATGTCCCTTTGTTTCCCTGGATTTTCCTTGCTCTGAAATCTACTTTGTCTAACATTAATATAGCCCCTCCAAGTTTCTTCGTTTGAGGTATAATCGACATATAACATTATACAACATGATGGTTTGATATTTGTAAATAT